AGCCGGAGCCACCAGCCTGGTCAGGCCCCTGGTCGGGTTCCTGGGCGGCCGCAGCAGCCTGGTCCTCCTCGCCATGGTCCGCAAGGTCGCCTGCCAGAGATTCGGCAGGTCGGAGAAGTCCAAATCAGGATTCTTTGCGCAAAGGACATAGATGGACCCGATCGCCCAGTCCGCGGCCTTCTCCTCCAACCCCTGAGACGAGTTCTGCATCTCCGCAGTCATTGCAGCATCTTCTCCCGACTCTCCTGGAGTCGGCATCAAGAGCCAGCCTTTCCTGTTCGAAGGCCCCATTAGCTTCTTCAGCCCGCTGAGCCCGTTCGAAGGTCGCCCGCAGTTCTTGGTCCTTTTCGCTGACTCCTTGGTGAGACGGGCGGTCGCCTCTGAAGCTCTTTGATCTCCTCTCACACGACGGTCGAGCTCAGCCTTCTGGAAATCCACTGATCGCAAGGCGGCATCCTTTTGGTGCAGATCCTGTCCGCCGCTTCGAACTCTGTGCCCTTTCAGCTTCGACGGACTCCAAGCTCTGCTCAGTTTCGCGACCTCCTCTTCCAGGTCGCTAGTCCCCTTTGCGTCCCCCGGCGTCTTCTCCATGGACATCCTCTCGCAAGTAATCCCTGCGAGCAGAATATGGTTTAGAACAATCGGATTGGAATTTCAAGTACGGTTAATTTACCTTGCTCAGATCTGAAACACGTAGCCAGCAGGTCGTCGCCCGTATCTGCAAATTCATTGTATGACTCCGATAGCTCACAATCGAGCAGGCCATAAACGATCGGCTGCAGATACTCGGGCAGACCCCCAACGAATCTAGAACAGGTGCGTCCGTTCACCTGCCTCGCCACAGGCTCCTTACCCGACCTCCGGGACCCCTGACGCGACCTAAGAGGCTCTTCCTCAGATTCGGTCTCCGACTCGTCAGGCTGAATTTGCTTTCTCTTCTTTGACTTCTGGGCCGGGGCCTTTCCTTAGGGCGAGTAGTCGGTGCCTGACAGCCTGTCCCGACCTGGTTGCCCCTTGCGCAGCAGGCGGGCTGGGGAGCTGGGACTGTTCGCACCGGCTGTGCCGGGACAGCACGAGCAGCGTCAGCCTCCCTCTCTTCCCTCGATCGAGGAAAGACAAACGGTGCTCACGGGACTGCCCGGACCCTTAGGGGCATCGTTCCTGCATTCGAGGTCGTTAGTAAACGAAATCATTCAACGACCAAAAGAAACCAGCGACTTACCTGCTAGCGGTTCTAAAGACGCCTGGTCGCTAAAAAACCGTACTCCGCAATTCCTGTCGTCACAAGCTTCCTCGCGTCACGACTGTCCTCGTCTAAAACTCCGAAGGATACGAGCCTATCCGGGTCAGCGAGTAGCGACTGATGGGTCGTTCTGTTAACTGCAAAACAAATCAGGTCGTTATTATGGATCAGGCGAGCAGATAATAGGCTCAATAAGAAAACCTACTCGGATCTTGAAAACGGCAAAAGCCGTTGTATAGAAAAAGAAGAACTTAGACTCGTAGCTCCCGCATTGCTGGGGTAACTGTGTATCCCCGGCAATGGTAGGTCGCCGAGATAGGTAGTACGAGTCTTTGTCCCTACCTTCTTGAGGTATAGGCGACTCCGAGCTCTACCGCCGTTGCTCTCCCCAGCCGTTCTCGCACACGCGATGTACATCGCGACAGCGATACATACGCGTTTGGTGTTAATTGCATCGGTGCGATCCCGAAATGATCCGAACCGACCTGATGAAGGATGGAAGGGAATCCTCCCTCCACCCTTGAGATCTCCTCTGAGATCGCGGCGAGGCCATTGTCGGGGTGCCGCGACGATCTGGTATGGTCGAGGAACACCTCTGCGTGAATATCATACTGCGCCTTTATTCTATCGTACTCCTCGGAAGTAAGAACCGAGTAAACATCGAGGGCGCGTCCTCGGGGACTTCCCGCGAGGACGGCTGGCTCCTCCTCGGGTCTGGATGTGGACGGTTCCATTCCAGTCTGCAACATCGACGACACGGTCGTTAGAGCCTTTGTGTTCGTCCCGAGTAATGACAGGACGCCTAAAAATCCATTACCGACTCGAGCCGCCGTCCACGGCTCGAATCCAAGGACGGCGTCGTGTCTCTGGTGAAACGCAGAGAGACCCAACGCCACTATTCCACCAACAACAAAAAGGGGAAAAAGGAAGAAGGAAAACCTTACTCTCTGAGACGTGAGGCTGATGCCGAAATCCGTTTCGATTGCCTGAATGTCGATCGGACAAAATTGCTTCTGGCGTGCGAAGGTTTTCGGTTTGAAGCGAAAGAAGTTTCGGTGGCTTCGTCAGAAAAGTGAGTTTTTATATGGGGATTGCGAACCGACGGTTACCCACCTTGGAACTGAAACGACAGCCCACTCTCTCTCTCCCCGCATTAAATGCACCCACGTCGCATTAACTGACGCAGTAATGGCCCTCGCTTCGGTTACGCTGCGCCACTAACACTGCCAAACGGTGCCAGCTCAGCACGCAGAGCATTTAATGTGCCTGACATGCTTTAGCGCGCGCAGACCGCATGGCAGCGTGAAACCAGGTTCGTTGAACCTGTATAGAGGAGCGCCCCTCAGATCCAGGTTCTACAGATGAGATTGTCAGCTCGCTCTGACTGAGGACTGCATGAGGTCGTGTTCGCCAGAGTTCTGTACCGAGCTCTTCCTGTTCAGGTCGGGGCGAGTAAATTTCAGCGTAACTTAGTTTCCAAGGTCCGACCTTCGAACCTTAAAAACTAGGGGGCTTCTGTTATGCCTAAGAAAATAAAGGGCTGACGTGGGAAGAGTCACGTGAAGGGCGACCTGCTCCCGTCAGAGCAACACGCACACGTCAGACCTGCCAAGTGATGTGGAGCCCACACGCGTCCTTTCTCCTGCCACAAGTCGTGCGATGTCAGCTTGGAAAAAGGGAAATGGGACATAAAGCCTGATTATACACTGACAATCACACCAAACCACGGATTTAGCAAGGATTATACACTCCAGTCCAGTATAAAAGAGGGAAGACCCCTTCATTAAGGGGATTCGGCCATTTTACATACAAAAAAAAGAACAAATAGAAATCTCTCTCTCTTGTAAACCTTGCTTTGACTTTTTCGTCTGTTGTAAGTCAGCTCGCGACCGCGACCTGACATCCACTAATATCAATACAAATCAGTGGACGTAGGACTTGCTATCTCAGCGTCCGAACCACTTAAAAACCCCCTCTACAGCTATTTCACTTTTCTTATACTCTATTTTCACGTGCATCGAACAGTAAATTGATATTATCCACGTAAAAATTCGTTGGTGTTAAAACGAGCATCAACAGTTTGTCTTAAAGATTGTTTTTTTTTTTTTTTTTTTTTTGGTAACTGTCCCAACCAATTTTGAGTGCATCTCAATTAATTTTGGAATTCATTAAACCCCTTACAAGCTAAAAAATCAGATAAATTATGATGTTATTGTTATAAATAGTCTCAAAGTTTGAATCCAAAAACTCAAAGAAAAGAACAAATCTCTTTAAATCTCCTCCCAACCTTGAGGTCTTAAAGATTGTTATAATAGCTACATGATGTGTGATTAGTTGTAGATTCATAGTGTAAGTATCACTTAGTTTTCGGTAATTGAAGTCGTCATAATTGAAAGAAGCGGCTGCGTAGAAAACAACAGGGGATTAAGACACAGTCAATAGAAAGAAAGGTTAAGAATCAAAATGTCATTATCTACAACTTAAAAATTCTATTTAAATGTGCCCGTAATATATTTCAGGGAATAGTCTTAATCAAATTTAAGCCGCACTGACGAAGACGAAGTCTTTGGTCTATCACTTAATAATTTTCTTTATCATAACATGTGGAAAAATTGTGCCAGCTTTTCATCTTATCCACCAGACTTTTATACACACTATAGATAGTCAGATTTGGGACGACTATCACATTTGTGGCTTAGGCTTGGGGCTAATTTATTTTGATAAAAGTCGATCAAATTTCAAAGTCAATGTTAATTACTGTTTTTCCCAAGCTAGCACAGAGAATAAGTATGACCAGAATATGGGAAATGGAGTGTAGAAGGCCTATATTCTAGAAAGTGAAACGAAATATTGCATCATTAATCCCAACGGATTGGTCTAACGATTAAGAAGATTTACTCATTTTATTAACTTCTTGGGTTCAAATCTTAGGGTCAATTATCACATTTATAGCTTAAACTTATAGAGTGTTTAATCGACGTCAAGGACTAGCTGATTTTTAGGGTCCAAGTATTAGTATCATACTCATTTTGGTTTTCTGTATCCATCAAAACTCCATAGAAAATAATGACTCTTGCTTTTCGTAAAGTTTGGCCTTCTGACTTTTGAATTTAGATGGCCTTCCTAATCCTAACTGGTTAGTTTACTGCTTCTAACTTGATACTTTTTATTTGACGCAACTTAATTTCTTGTATCGAACTAAAATTTGATAACTGATTTCTAGTATAACAGTGTCTTTTACCCAATAAAAGAGATATCTTGAACAAACACATTTGCAACTAATTTATTTTGGTTAAAGCAATCAAAGCCATGAATAAAACACATGTTAATTTGGTCAAGAACAAGTTTCTTTCTTTGGTTTTTAAGGTCGCACTGTAATTATTATATCTGAAGGATTGTCTGTATACCCCCATATTCAAATAGAGTTGTTGGGTCAAACGCTAGATCATTCAAATTTGCTTAAAGTAAGGAATATTATTATATTATGGTTTGTTTAATTGGACTTGCATTCTATAATGATAAGATTTAGTTTATTCTTTAGTATTTGTAATTGTCATTACTTCAGGCAAATTATTACTCTTTTGATTAAAAATAAATGAAATCATCAATCGCTTGGCAGATGCCAAGCCCTTTAGAGATTGAAGTTAGCTATATCCAAATGTTCGAGTCAAAAGAGAGATATTACCTTACCCAAGAACAAAAATATCACCAATCTCTAAGTAATTATTTCTTGTATAGTTTGATAGAGAAGTTAGCTGAGATCAAGATGACCATAAAAATTGTATTGCAAATTATTCTGGCAGCATTCATGATAATCCCAACCTAAATTTTCATATAGTCTCTTGAAAGCACACACACACTTTATCTATGGGTAGGAAGATAACTATCAAATTGATCAATAAGGGTTCCTCTCAATGTAAGAGTAGCACCAAAAAATTCAGTGGCAATAGTTGAATTTGAACGCAATGTTACGATGATCATCATTTCAGCTGTAAAGAAACAGAAAGATATATTAGTAACATTTAGCATGGAAGTTGATAGCAGAGTTGAGGAATTTAGGTGACCAAAGAAAGGAAGGAAACATAATGCAGGCATTTACATATCAATAGATCTTTGTAACTTAATTGATAGCAGAGGGTACAAAATCCTGAGTTGAATTCAGATGTGGTGCAAATATTGCCCTAACTTCATTCACATAAAATACAGTTCTACAAGAACCAAATAAGTACAATAAGGTTCTTTGTCTCTTAGCTCAGTTTACAATTATTTTCGCACAGAAATTGAGAGACCATGTAAGCTGGGTGCAATTACACATGTTTGACTAATTTTCATGCTGTTTGTTTTACTCACCTGAAGGATATTATAGCATTACAGTGCTGATGAAGAAGCACGTTCATTAACACTAGGCAGCCAATCTTTGAAGAAGACTTGGCAATCCATCTCTGCATCAGAAAGGGCTCCAAGTGGAGTGACAGTAATCTGAAATGAAGTTTTGGATACCATGCTAGTGATTAGCCACTCGATTCAGAAGTTTAATCAAGTAGAGTACAGATACTCACATATCCTTCTCGAAGATATTGCCAGTCTGTATCAGGATCGGCAATGTGGGCTCCCCTTGCCTATAAAATTGAGAAATAGAATCTTCCACTCAAAATTTGAAGTAAAATGACAAATATCACAAAGTTTTTGAACTGTTGTCAATCTGACCAAGGATTTGTTAAAGACCATAACTTTAAATTTATCCATAATCAGGTTTTATTTTCCAATTTCAGAGCCTTAAGGAAGATCAACTTATCTGAGCAAAGGCAGGAGATTTTTTGCAATGAAAGAGGGAGAAAGATAAGAGAACCTACCTCTCTCGTGAACAAAAGATGTTCTTGTGATATTGTAGATGAATCAGTTTCAGTTTTTGCTTCTGGTTGATCTGTCTCCATCGTCATTGTTGATGACATTCTGACTCCTTGCGTTTCAGAACTGACTTGTCTCCACCCCATTTTGAATATGCTTTTACCCTGTTTGGTGAGTTTGTATCCCTTGGTGGACAACAAGAAATGCAGAAAAATAAAATTACAACCACTTTGTCAAATGTATGAGTAACACAATGACTAACATTGTTTTTGATAAAGTAAACTATAGTCATTGCATCATATGACAAGTCTTTTAGCTCTTTGCACCTCAACCACATATATCCTAGTCTGAAGAATCAGGTAACATGCAAAAATGAATTTCAACTCATTCAAATAATAACAATGACATAATATCAATTACAGAAATGATTGAAAAAGATATCATATGTTCACCACTCTTCTTCAACCCCTTAGCATGCCAAAGTCTTTCAAATGGAATCAGATGCAGAAGTTAGCACAATTGACGTCAGACAAGAGAGACAAATAGAAAGATAAAGGGAAGATCAGCTAAACTAGAAAGGAAGAAAAAGGAGAATTTGAAGAGAAAATCATTCAAGAATTTTAGTATTTCCAACCAGTTTATGCTGCCCAAAGATACGATCTAAAGCCTGCTTATAATGGTCAATTCATAAACAAAAAGGAAATCTAGTTCCACTTCTAAAAGTAATATTCTCCTGAAATCACAAACCAACACAAATAAGAGGAATCATAGGTTTTCCAAACAAAACAACTCCCAAGTTCCTAATAATAAAAACACCTAAAACACATAAAAATAAAATGAAAATGGTCTTTGTCCAGAAGAATTGGCAACAAGATAGCTGTTTCCCAAAATAAATAAATAATAAAAAAAAAAAGATCTAAAATTCCAAATCCAGTGATATTGACAACAATTTTTATTCAGATAAATTGCTGTATGACAATTAAATGCCTACACATGATTTACCACCATGGTTCTGCAGCAAGAGAACTATATTAGAGTAGTCTTACCGTGAAAGATTGGACAATTCCAATGACAAAACAGTCTTCAGACAATCTATATAAATATCAGTTGGCTAATATACCCATGAGGCTATGTTGAATATAATCCTAAACTTGACAATTAGCATGTAACAATACTTATTTATTCTATAAGAAGAAAATTATCATAACTTTGACATTTTAGAAAAGCTAATTTAAAGTACCTTATGATTAGCAACATCTGTTGGCAAATCTATATTCAGAAAGCCTCTTTTGGGATAGGTTTGATTCCTGATCTCAGCCAGTATTGCGTTTATTAAAGGTAAGCAAGCCTCGGCAGCGAGTGTATAGTCATGAATAGTGCTTTTACCTCCAACCCTAAAAGTTCACTATTTAACTTCATCATGTGGAAAACAAATAACTCTTTTAAAAGAAGGGTTAAAAACAATTATGAAAAGAATGACATGCCCCAACACCACCAGTTGGATTTGTTCTTAACTCCAATAATACACTATTAATGTACATGAATTTCAACAAAATCAATTCCTTTAACAAAGCATATAGGCACAGCATATGTGTATATACCAGTCGTATGATATAGAGACAGAAGGTACACCATTAAAGAAAGCCTCTCGAGCACCCGCGACTGTCCCAGAATAAACACTGCAAGTCAAAGAAAAAACCAAAGCTATATAAGCCCAAACTAGCAAAGCAACTAGGACAACTTGGATTAATGTAACAACAGCCAAACATGAATGCATACTTATATAATTGCAAAGGCTAAATGGAACTTAATAGCAAGCCTTTCTTTGGCAGTCCTCCATTTCAATAACTCATGGCCACAAAATCACTTAGTCTATTCTTCATAGCTTTTGAAAGAACATTGTGTTTGAAGATGGGTCTGTTTGGAAATCTTAAGACAATAAAATCACTGGACTTATTCACTTTTAAATTAACTTGTGATAATGGCGACATAACTCAAACAGATATGCATATAAATCTTTCAAGAACTTCGTTATATCCATCATTGATTAATGAATGTAAAATTGGCATAGAACATAAGAAAGTTAATCATCATATAGTTAACCATGATGAAGACATCAGAAGAAAATATTAATAACAGATTGTGATAATGTTATTTTTTGCTTCCCATCCCCTCGACTTCTCCCTCTTTCTCTTAAAAAATCTCCAATTTAAAAAGAGGGAAAGAAATTTCAAGAAGATTGCAGATACATAATATATAGATGGCAAAAGATGAAGTATGACTTACATGTGATAACCACAGTTGCTACCCATGTTTATGCCACTGATTACCTGTGTGCAGAAATAGGAGGCACTTTAGAAACCAACAATATGAAATAACTTTATGCACCACAACTCTTAGAAAATCAGGCCCCAAATTGTATAACAAGTATGAGCTATGTTGTCCAAAGAAAAATTTTCCAACTAAGTTACCTTGATGTAAACAACATAATTGTTTGATTTGAACAGTAATTGTTGTCATGTCACTAGATTTAAAAGCCCTAAAATGTTCTTTTTAATGCATTTGGCAATTTGAAAACATAAGAGAGGCATAAAAAGGGCATCCTTGTTATGCAGACCCTGACTAAAGGTAAGTACACAAGAGGGAAGCAAACAAAGGAAATGACCTAAGCTTTTAAGTAACTGTTCTCCAGAGATATGATCAGTAACAATTCCGTAATTAAAAATAATAGCCAGAGAGCTACCAGGTCAGGAATAGAAGGAAAAAGCGCTTGTGAGAGACCCAAAGAGGCACAATCGGCTGGAGTTCCTGCAAAGTATATGTAAACAGAACTTTTGCAAGTTATTAAGAAAAGCAAACTTATGTTTTAGTAGTTTAAATTGAAGAATATGATGTTTTTTACCATAAAGGAATAGATCGTCCCCAACATTTCAAAGACCCCACATATTTTAAACAAAATTTTACAAAGGTTTTAAGGTATTTCAAAAATTCTAAACATTTGAATGACGGCATGGAGACTACTTTCACTTCTCTGGGGGCGTTTGAATCCTCATGACAATAAAACTTTTGTTTCTTATTGAAAACCTTAAAACTAGCATAAACGGATATGGACAACTTTAACATTAGCTCATGTACAAAAGTGCAAAAAGGTATGATAAAAGGATCTATTAAGGTATAAAACAAACCGGCTACGGCAAAAGCTATTGCTCCATCGATATCTGCTGCTTTGGCTGCAATAGGATGACGCCAAGTTATACTATGACTAACTGCCGATTTTTCCCTGAAAATGCCGCACAATTTTATCTCATCACAAAATCAGGATTGTTGCATACACCATATCAAATATATTTTACAAACAAAAACATAAACCACCTCTCGTATCATGATTATCCAATTCAATCAATCAAAGCTCATATTCTGAAAGAAAAAAAACGCAGAAGCAAGACTTACGTATCGGGAGCGCAGACGAGGACGTGGTAACGGTCGGTGGAGACAAGGACACGGACCAAGGCTCGTAAGCCGGGGGCGTCGATTCCGTCGTCGTTTGTGACCATGATCGTCGGCTTGTCAGAACAATTCTCCATTCTGACTCTAAACAAATAGCCACTGAATAAATGCGCCGAGACTCTGAGTCTATAAACAAGTGCTGTGCGTTTAGGCCACGCAGAGGCAGACCAAATTTACAGTTGCAACTGATTCTGGCTAGTTGCCATTACTCGTTATTCTGTGCAAATGGTTCAAATGCGATGAAGAATATGCTTTTTCGGCTGTCTGATGATGACAAGAACCATTTTTTGTCTTCTTGATGTAATCTGACGGACATTATTAAATATAGTATTTTCTAATACTAAATTTTAGTCACTTAATAAATAGTTGAATAATTCTATTTAATAATTTAGAAAACATACTTTAAAAGCTATGAATAATCTCATGTTATGTATTTGGCCCTCTATCTTCAAAATTAAACCAACATTCACATGCTTAAAACGTTACTACATATAAAATGTATGTATATGTATAGTCCACATGCATGTTGGGAAAAAGACAATAATGATTAATATCATGTATTTAACAAAAATTGTTAACAAAAATATAACGTTTGAATTATTAAATTGTATTTTGAAATTTTTAACTTTTTTACTCATCAAGAGTCCGCATAAATTATTGATAAAGTTTTTCAAGAAATGGTTGGCACTTGGCAGTACCAACAATAATGGAAGATAAATTCATTAAAGAAATGGAGAACGACATTGTCCCACCCAGGTTTGGTGAAACGATACTTTTTTACCCATCAAGTTTCAAAATGTTCCGTTAGAAAATTTCATTACTATTTAACTAAAAATATAAAAATACCCTTAAATATTTGATTTAATAATTTCTTATATAAAATATGTTATATCAATATATTTAATTATCAATATATCCACTCTTTAAATTTGAAATTAATGATATGCCATTATTTATGCTCTCATATATAATGTAAATTGCCAATTTTTCCCTCCAGATTTTTATTAAAAATAATGTTAGAAATGACTGATGTTACCGTTGGATCTTTATAAATTTAAAACCTTTAAAATTACTAGTTTGTCCTTATAGTTGTTGCATATTTAATTTTTGTCAATTTAAACCAAAATAAACTAAGTATTGGCATTAGTAATTTGCTTAAATAAGAATCCAGATTGTAAAATTAGAGCATCTCCAAATGACTCTTTAAATTATCTAAACTCTTTATTATAAATAGTCTATTCATAAAAATAAGAATCCAATATACTCTTTATCTTTCAAATTTAAATTAGAAAGTGAGTTTGACTCTCCACATTTAGAGAGTCAAATTTCACTCTCTATCCTAATTTTAATTAATAAACTACAAGTTTTTATATATTTTATTTATTAATTCTCTCTCCTATTAACTCTCTTTCTTAAAAATAAAGAGTATCTTCATTAAATTTAAATAGTCTATTGGATTTAAATAAGAAATATGTTCTTTATATTTAAAAATTAATAAAGATACTCTTTATTTATATAAAAAATGTTCTTCAAAATAAAGAGCACCATTAGAGATGCTCTTACCGTGCATAAAAAGGATTTTTAAAATTCAAACTCAATAAAAATAAGGAATTCAATACAAAAAAATCAGGTTTTCCAGTTTCTCATTGATTTCCCAAAATCCAGAAAGTTTTGCTTTCACCTACCCACTTTCTAGCTCCTTGAAGTTTGCTTTTCCTTTGCTTTCTGGATCTTTAAAATATTCTTCACTATCCTTTTGCTCTTCCACCAAGAAACCATCTCCAATTTGTCTTTGTCATAGCGTATCTGCGATCCAAAATCAAATATTAAGGTTGGGAGTATTTATAGGTGCTTCAAGTGTGCACATTAGTTCACTAAACAATCACAGCAAAAAGGACTAAAAGATTCATTTTTGAGTAGTAATAACTAGTATTCCAAAGTATTACATGTAACTAACTTTGGCATCACCCAATGTGGGAAAACTCACTATAGTAACTCTCAATGCTTTGAGGTCACAAGCCCTTCCTAACTTAAATGTTAATTATGATAAGGTAATAGAATGGAACAAGATGGGTAAGAGGGGAATGATTTTATTCATAGAAATGCACTTTTTAATTCACTACATTATACATATTTGCATCTGATTTTCACGCACATGCTTTTATATTTTTCCTCTAATGTGCTTTTATATTTTTCCTCTAATGTACAAGCAAAACCTTGGTTCCATTAGTACACATTTGTAGATAACTCAAGAAATAAATTTCCAGACCTTAACGACACATGAAGACATATCTTGCATACGTAAAAGGTAACCAATACAGAACAATGTATATGTGTGTGCATACTATTCATAGGAGTGTAACCTTGAAATTACAAAAAATATAAAACTACATTGAATATAACTTAATTTACCTGTTCCCTTGAAAGTTGCCCACACGACCACCCTCCCTGATAGTTCAAACACACATACCAACAACTCCTCTCGACTCAGAACTTTCAGCTGCTCACCCACCGCCAACAATAACAGCATAACACCTCCTTGAGCTTTATTTTTTGAAATCTGAACAGCAACAAGGGTATAAAGTGTGCAGTGTAATCAATTATGCAAACACATACCCATATCAATGTGAGTACATGTGAAAAATGAGCTAGAGATCATGTTGTTTTTCTCATTTCAAGGCAATGAATAGCAACTGAAAGATATAGGCTTCATAATAATAAGAATTGAATATATTATGAGAAGAGGTAGGGAAAGATAACAGGACTCCAAAGGAGAAAAAAAAAAAATTAACCCCAAAAATGAAAAAAACTGCAAACTGATTCTCAACAAAATATCTAATTTACCAAACGTTTCCATGTTCTGAAACATCCTAAATTACATACAAATATACATAAAAACATATAAAGTACCCAAATCTAATTAAAAAAAAAAAAAAAAACAAAGAGAATTAAATACAAACAAAAGTTATACCTTATAACTAATAGAAATTCCATTCGAAAGACGGCGTTGAGTGATCCCAGTTTCTTTGTCATGCACTTTCGTGACATTTAATTCTAAGACCTTGGCACCAATGGAATTAACCTATAGCAGCAGATAATCGAGGATCAAAACCACTGTGTAAGAAAAATATTCATTTTTTAGAAAAGAGAAAGACTTGGAGCAAATCAGTAAGAAACATGCAAGTCGTGTTACTACATTCTAAGAATTACACTAACGATACTTGTGCCTTCTTTTGAGCACAAATCTGTTGGTACTTTTACAAAAACCCCTTATACTGAATAACAATTTCCACAAAAGCATCCTGAAACACAGCCCAACAAATCCAGATGACAAGTACAAACAACGTCACATTCTCTCCTCCAGATCAGAAACAACATAATCAAACAGAGCAACGCATAACCTCATAAACCACAAACTCGCTAACTTACTATTAACAGTTCAAAATTCCATGAACTGGGTACCAACTAAACTGAACACCACAAGTAATCTAGATTAACTATGCCCGTGAAGAAATAGTTGTTGCTGTTGTAGTACCAAACGAAAAGAGCACAAAACAAAACAAAAAACACACAACAATTTTTTTAACCTAAAAAAAGAAAGAAAGATTACCCACGGCTTTCGGCTCAGTCGTCGTCGTATGTATTTTTTTTCTCACTCCTCGTCGTAGCCAATTGCAGCTCGTCGCTCACTGCTTTCAAACCTTTTTCTCAATCGTCGTCATCAGTCGCCAACCCTAAGTCGCCAGTCACCAGTCGACAGAGTTTTCATGTATTCAAACCACTCCCATTATCAATCGCTTCAGTTGCAAAGAGTGGGGAGATTTACAGAGTATAGGAAGAATAGGTAGCCAACCTTTCATTCTCGCGTTTTTCTTTTTTTCAGAGTCAACTCTAGTGGGACACATGGCAACCATTCAGGGACACTGAGATTTCAATTTTTTATTTTTTATTTTTTATTTTTGCGGCTTCCTGTAAATTGACAATTCTACCCTTCTTCATAATGGAACTCCCTAACAGTATATAACGTTGGGCGGGAAAGTGTCGTTTTAAAACTTGACAAGTGGAAAAATATCACTTCCCCAAACCTTGGGTGAGAACAAGTCATTCTCCCTTAAAGAAACGCCAAAATTTTCGGTGTGCAGTGTAAATTAACTTAGCCGACAATAAACAAAACCATTTTAAATTACTTGAAACAAAATTTTGCTGTATTAACGTGTATAATGAACGTACAATAAAGAATGAAATGAAACGTGGCATGAGGGGTTCATCAATTGAACATTAAGCAGTGATAGTCCAGTTGCACTCGTCTGGTCCAGCCCACTTCACAATAATAAGTCCGGACCCAGACATTCAATATTGTGCCATTCTTCATTTTGGCCTTTATTTAAAAAAAAAAAATTCAAAATTCAACTAAACTTTTAACCAAACATGTAAATAAATAACTCCAACGGATTGGCCGATCAAAGAAGTATGCGCTATTATTTGAATTCTTATGTTTAAACCTTAATGACTTATTTGGTCTTTTAAACTTATTGGATATTCAATGAACTTCAAAAAATAGTTGAGGTGTGATCCGAACACCTTACAAAAATAAAAAAAGAGCCAAACAAATTATACTTTAATCAACAATTAAATTAAGATCAATAAACAACTTAGAATTTGTACAATGGTTTTAATAAATACTTTAATTTTTCTTTTTTTAAAATATTGGTATGCAAGATGCATGCAAGATATGTTGAGGGGCATTATGCCAAACATTGGGATGCCATATTGCTATGATACAGCATGCACCGTGCTCTTACGAAAATAAAATATAGGACTAATTGTAGGTGCATGTTTCAACAGAAACAGAGCGTTTGGATTTGGTGAAGAATACAAAAAAGAAATGATATGAAATATTTTGATTTCATAGTCTAACCTGTATTAGACCATATCCAGTGCCACGACAATGACTTCGATCTTCGCTCGAGGCTCATGACCGATACACTTTGCAAATTTTTGTGTGAGGCAAGAGATCGTATGGCCTCGCGATCAATATACATCCAGTCGAGGAGTCACGCCGCTTCGCGATGAGACATGAGCCGAAGAGTGTTGTACGTAACGACCTCTTCAGATGTTATCCGTTGCACTTTCATAGTTGATGCATTAATGAAATATCTTTTGCTCTGACAGACGTGTCTTGCGCGCAATAAGTGTTAGTCATACGCATTAAATGCGAGCCATGCTAAAACAACATTCCCTATTAGAGCATTAAATGCGGATGTGAGCGCATTTAATGTGGAGGAGGGAAAACGTGTCATCGCTTGAGTGTTTCAATGGAAGTGAACGACGATTGGTTTCTCGAAGCGTGGCGATCACTCTTCTCCGTCGATTTATGACACGTGGTCGCGATCAACGATGATGTGTTTTCCGCCCAACATCATTTGACTTCGGGAAACCAAAGCGCCACTTCCTTCACTATAAAATCCAAGTTCACTTCTGGCAATGTCACAATATTCATCTTCTCAGAAAGAGAGAGCAAGGGATTTCTGTGAGCTTTGATTCTTGTCTATCGGATTGGTGCACGTTTGATATCCGGAGCAGAAGGACTAATTTTCATTTCAAGAGGTAAAGATGATCCTTCTGCCACCTTTATATTTTTCTTGTTTTCAATAGTTGTCGTGCAATGACAGTCTGTCGGAAGTTGATCGGAGATGAAACATTCTCTTTGGGATTGAGCCATTGATGGTGGCTCTAAAAGTATTTGTTAGGGCTTTTCTAGGGTTTAAGGGAGGAAGTATTTTCTTTTTCCTCCATGTCATCGTACAAAACTAGTACGAAGGCTAAGTGATTCCCTGCATGTCGCTTTTCAGACTGCAGTAGAATGGGACCCCCAACGACCAGAGCCAAGGAAGGGACCAGCTCACCTGTGTGAGGGTGCTCCTACGAGTCCCCCTCATCAGTCGATACTTACAGACGAAGAGCTTCAAAGGGTGGTAAACCAATACGCTATCAACATGGAAGTCTTCCGAGACAGGACAAACACAACTCAGAATCAGCCACTAGGGCTAGCCGCGATCTCTAAGAACATTTTCAAGGGTGGGGGGTTGATCCCTTTCCACCCCTTGTCCGGTCGGTCTTGACCATTTCGGGGTCGCACCTTGCAGCTCACACCAAACGCGTACATGATAGTTGTGGCCATGTACATCGCGTGTCGTGAAAACGGACTGGGCGAGCTAATCGCACTAAAGCTCGGTTGCTCGTATATCCTGAAAAGGAGTAAGGACAAGGATCCTACTACTTTTCCAAGTGAACTACCATTGAAGCGGGAATACACAGTTACCCAAGCAATATAGGGGCATACGAGATGAAATCCTTTTCTTTCGTCACGATGGCATTTGCCATTTTCAAGAGCCAAGTAAGTCCTCCTTCTTTGGAGTTCGCAAACTTCTATCGTTCTTTGCTAACGAACTCTGTTTCTTTGCAGTTAACAAAACGACCAGGTTAAAGCTCCGAGGATCTGGACAAGATCGCTACCTTCGACTTTCTGCTCGAAGAGAGTCGCGATGCAAGATTGCTCGTAACAATAGCAAATTTGCAGAAGTATGGTTTTCAACTTAGAAGCGACCTAAGAGACCACACCGAGTAAGCTTGTTAACCTTAGCCCTTTTTATTTACATGTAGTGAACTATTTACTAACGATGTCATGTACAGCGACCATGCCTCCCAAGGCACCCAAATCACCGCGACCACGAAAATTTGCCTTTTCCCGAAGGGGTGCTACTGGACGGCTGGAGTGGCTCCCAACAGTTCCCCTATTGGAGGGACATCGGCAACTGATTCGACCAACCTGTGGGTGCTCCCAGCCTTCGACTGCTCACCTGAAGCAAAAAAACACGGCCCAAAGGCTAAGAAGAGGAGGCAAATTCGAACCGAGGAATCGAAGTCCAAACCGGAGTGTTGGGCGTTCAACCCGAAAGGTCATAGCCTTACCAAGCTGTGCGCTCGGAGGGGCCACCCAAGGGCACGACCGACATTTCCATCGTTCCGGGGGTCCGCAAGCAAGATAATAGCGGTCGTAGTCCCCGGGAGGAGGTCGAGAAAGGAGCCGGTAGAGGGAACTCTACCAGTCATGGGCACATACACTCTTGTGCTGAAGTCAACAGGTCAGCTACCTGACCATCTGTAGGCGGTAGTCTTTGTTTTGCTGGAATGTGGGCTTGCAGAGGCTTTTGAGCAGTTCGTAGCCTCCGACACTATAGTCTTGATGACCACGTCCTTCCAGCACCTGAGCAAGGTAAGAGAGCTGCCCTTGGCGAGAACATTTGTTTTTGTAATATAAAGGACTAACTTTATCTCTTCGTTATGCAGGCCTTGCTCTCCATGCACCTGTCCCTGCAGAAGGTCCAACTGGGGGCTGCTGAGGGATTGGTCGAAATAAGGACAGAGAACGCACGACTCAAGTAGGAACTAGATGCCGCGCGAGCAGACAGGGACTCATCCACGTTCAGGCAGAGCAGCATTTGTCCGAAAGGGATGCTACACTTCGCACGATGGATTTTCAGAAGTTCGAACTGGAGAAGGCGCAGTGAGGAGGTAAAAGAGCTCCAAAGGACCGTGGCTAGACTTACTAGGGAGGTTGGTGAGAAAGACAAGGCGCTACAAACGACCTCGAGGGGCCTTACGAGCAGAGAGGGAAAGGGGCGATCTGTGGAGACTACTGAGAAGTAGCAATCCACGTTTGAGGCCGAGCTCCACTTTACTCGAGGTTGCGTCACTTCGCTGACTGTGGAGGAGATGCAGCAGAGGAGGTGGAGATTGAGAGTAGGGCTGCAGAATGGATGATTCAGTCCATCTTTGCCCTCTAGCCGAAGAACCCTGAGATGGACCTGTCTGACCTCCCTAAGGAGTATCGGAATGAGCATGCTCCTGGCGCGCGAGCTGAGGCTGAGGAAGCAGCTCGGGGCACGACCTAGAAGAAAGGCATCGGAGTTCGTTCCAGAGGAGCCTGCACCCGAACAGGCGGTCAGCAACCAGCCTGGGGATGAGGATCAGTGATCTCCTTCTGTAGTCTTTTTCTACTACCATGTACTTTCCTTTTTGTTATTATGAATAAAGACGTCGCTTTTCACAATCTTTCATGAGCACTTACAATTTTTGTATTCTTACATATAAGATCGCATTCTAACTGTTTACAATAGCGATTGGTACAAGTTTATGCGAACAGAATGTATACATGGGGAATGATTACAAAAGAACAAAATTGTGCACTTGCTATTTACAAAGATTACAAAGATTAAGAAAAGTAAAATCTTTACAAGGAAACAATGAGTTCGGAATTACTGATAATATGGTCGGAGATGTTCAGCATTCTAAGCTCGCAGTACTTCGGAACCATTTAGTCTTTTTGAGATGATAAGTCCCGGTCTTATCACTTTGGCGATGCAGTATGGGTCCTCCCAGTTCGGTCCCAAAACTCCCGCACTTGGTTTCCTAGTACTAAGAAGGATTCCTTCAAAACAAGTCGCCAACACGAAAGTCTCTTCTTCGACTTTAGAGAGTCGAAGAACTTTTTCGCGCGTTGCTGATAAGCTGCTATTCTTAGCTGAGCCCTGCTGCGGTGTTCTTCAACTATATTCAGACTTGCACGCATGAGCGCTTCATTGTCGACTCCGTTGAACAGGTCCCTCCAAAGTGAAACGGTCCCTACCTCCACAGGGATCATTGCTTCGCAGCCATATGCTAGCGAAAAAAAGGGTTTCTGAGGTAAAGGTTCTCGGAGTTGTCCTGTAGGCCCATAGGACTTCAGGAAGGTCGTCGGCCCAATTTCCCTTGGTTGCGC